CACTGACTGAGCTGTTTGATTGTAACAAATCAATAACAACTTCTCTGCATCGGAAATGTTGGCAAATGTTTGGTAAGGATATTTATATATCTGTTTCGCAACAAAGAATATTTCATACATTTGAAAGAAATTTGGTGTCCATGTTCAATGTCGCAATGATACAGCACAAAAGCAAGTTTAAGAATTATATTTTTCAAAGTAAAAGTAGATTTATCATAAATGGATCATTATTCCTCATCCACACAAGGTTCCAAATGTTGATCCTTCTTGTAGTTAAATGAGTGAGCAAATGTTCTCGTCACGATATGGCAGAAATATTGCCGATGTGACGTTAAATATTAACTCACTCACTCACTAAATGAGTGAGTGAGTTCACATTTTAAGTCACATGCAGTTTTTCAGCCATGTCGTGACTATACAGTGTGCGAAATAGCCACTGGCCAACTAGCCCGTAGCTAGTAAAAATCCAGTCGGGCCAGTAAATCCCCACAGTCACTGGCCCGAATGGCTAGTGAATTTTCATGGGGTAATTTTGTAAATATATCACTCCTTCCGACTTGTTAAGTTATCACACACTTTTAAATCATGCAGGATTATGGCCTGATAAAAACTTCATCATATCAGCAGCCTAATGATGAAACCTGTCTACATTCAAATTTCGGGCTAGTGAATTATTTTGTGGGCTAGTAACTTTTTGAAACTATTTCGCACACTGTGACTATACACGATCTAAATACATAATGAATACATTTAGATTATTAATAGCTGGCAACGAAGGGCAGTCAATAACCTCTAGCATATCACTGTCAGAAACAGACTTTAGAACTAGCATTTATCTTTAGAATGTTATTTCTGTCAGAACAATGCAATATAAAACGGGGTATGGATCGCCAGCAGCTGAAAAAAGATCACCATGCTAGTTTTACGGTTTAACAATTCCCATTTCAATACTATATTGAGTAAACAATGCGCAAGGTTACAATGAATGACAAGACAGATTTCTAATACAATATTACATTTTTGTATTGGGTCAAAATGAAACCAAACCGCTCAAGCTTAATGAATTGCATTCGAACGACAATATAGTACTGTAGAACAGTTTAACAGTTTCCACAACTTCTTCTGTTGACGACTATATATCTTTACTGCCGAGACATGTGGTTACAGGCGACACCACCGTGTGGTATCAGGGGAGGCAACTCTATGTTGCTTACCGTAGCTCGTGATATGACAGTAGCCACACCTCAGTACGGCCTTTCAGATAACACTGCAATCATGCAGAACTCACTCGAATGAATGCCACAGTCTTACACCAGAAGCGGCAAACCGAGAGCATAACAAAGAGGAAGTAACTCCCTAGCGCACCTCCTCAGCTCACCCTCAACAGGCAAAGTTACACAGCCTAAGCAAGATGCAAGTTCAAATCACACTCAGTGCTTTAAACTTTTGTGTCCCACAACAACTAAAAGTCAATCAATGTGACATTCCAATCAACCAAAACACAATCTGATAATACAAGGGACCATGGCGTCTTACAGTACTTTGCTACCTGCTTGGATCCCAGCTGAATTAACACCATCCCTTTAGCCGTTGGCGATTGTACTCAGAGTTTCAGATTATATGAAGACATATTCTACTATTAAAACATGTTGTATGAAAAATACCTTGAATGAAATTGGACTTATATACCCTCTCAGGGGGACAATTATTTCACACTACTTCAACCCCCTTTGAAAGTATTGCCACTATTAATAGTCTAGGTTGTTTATTCATTCAAACCAAATTAAACTGCAATTATTAATTCTAATGCTATTTGGGGCGGTGGCGTAGCCTAGTGGTTAAAGCGTTGGCTCGTCACGCCGAAGACCCGGGTTCGAATCCCCACATGGGTACAATGTGTGAAGCCCATTTCTGGTGTCCCCCGCCGTTATGTTGCTGGAATATTGCTAAAAGCGACGTAAAACCAAACTAAGTCAGTCAGTCAGTCAGTCAGTCTAATACTATTTACAATAATAAGTATTGATGAGTATACATGATGTGGCCAATGCGACATCGTTGCATAATGACCTCTTCAAATCTGGACTGACAACCCAAGTAGGTGTAACCGATAGTTGGTTTTGTTTGATGTAATGTATTGATACCTACTTGGGTGTCCCACTTCTTTTGCATTAGATCAGGAATGCAAGATGTATTTATAACCAGAGTATGGAATCTGAAGACGTATCACAGATTTGTCGAGTGCAGCAGCCGAAATAAATGGTTCTACATCTATTCCGAGAGATGGAATAAGTGTAAATGTTTTTAACATACAGATCCCCATATAGGGGTTAAAGTTTGAAATGGCGTGAATTTAGAGAAGGCTCATTTGCTTCAACGTAAAGACCGCCAATATGAAGTTAAATCATATATAATTCATGGAACCAATGCTATTTTAAATCAGCATCATTACTCAGGAACGTTTATGTACATTTGTATTCATGCCACGAATGTGAAAATTTATCAAATTTGGCTCAAAATGAAGGTACCGTCGGCTTATGAAATAGTGTTAATATTGGAAATACCAACTGCACCTAATTATCATCCAAACCTGTCAGCATCAAACAACATTGAAAAGTGAAGTGATGGACTCCATTTTTAGCAAGCATATCCAAAATATTCTGATTACAGCTACTACAGCAACATGTTCCAACCAAAGGTATTTGCAACCACTTTACCGGTTCTACTGATTCGTTTCGGGAATATTGTCTCACTCGCAAGTTTTCAAGTGTCTGAGGACGATGGTGCCGTTTACGGACGCGTCGATCAAGTTCGTCCCAGCGATTTGGAAGACCAGGGAAGGACATTGACGTTCGTGGAATATGCACCTGTAACACGAGCTGTGTGGGTCGAGCGTTGTCGAGTTGAAACAGCTCCTTCTGGCGGTTGAAAAGGAGGAACGGAGGTCGCAGGATTTAGTCAATGTAAGATTGCCTTGAACCACCACTAGCCATAATCTACCGGTGCAGGACATGTTTCCCCACACAATGACGCTTACCCCACCAAATCGGTCCACTTGTCGAACGCAGTTCAGCGCAAAATGACTGTGTCGACGTCGATGGACACGTTGTCACCCATCCCGTCGTTGTAGGAGCAAAAGCAGTTCATCGCTGAACCAAACACGTCGCCAGTTCCCCAGGTTCCATGCCTGTACCCCGTTGCACCATTGGATACATCGTTGTCGGTGACCAGTCGTGTCAGGACAGGTCCAACTTTGGTCGATATGCTCGAATTTCCACTTCTCTCAAACGATTTCTGATAGTTTGGTCTGAAATTCATCGAAGACCAGGCATGTGTCCTGCCGTGTCTGTTGCTGTAGGAAATCGGTGACATTGGTGAAACTCCCGGATGAATCGGTGTACTGAGCAGGAGTGGCCACTCTTGGCCTTCCACTTCTGGGACGATCTCTGGTCGAATTGAAGCGGGTATTTCGATGCCATAATCGAGATATGGTGCTCTGGTGGACGTTGATCTGTATTGCAACGGCAGGCTGGAACTCCCCTGCTTCAAAACGTCCAATGGCAATATAAAACGCCTATGCCTTTCATTTTTTGACTGTAGAGTATAGATTCCTACGTTTGTTAAAGATAAATTTAATTTATAGATATTTAAAGGGATACAGTGAAGACCTGTCCTCAAAAATAACATAATAGCATGGTATGTCCGATATCAAGATTCACACATTAAATGAAATCCTAACCCGGATCCATACTGAAGGGAGTAAGTCTACAACAAACGAGACTGTCGAGTATGTCTCTGATTGTAAACGCGATTCCATGACTGCACGTATAACAGTACCAAGACGCCAATTAAAATGGGATAAATACACAAATATATATAGATATATCTTTTCACAGTTTGGAAGTCTGTCTGTGTTTTGTCAGCCATATTGCGGAAAGAAATCCGAGTGTATCGCTGTGTGTATTCTAAATGCTGAATTAAAGATAAGTTAGCAAGCAATCAAACCAGATGCGTGTATATTGTGTTGTTCCGTGGTGTGTGGCGTGTGTCTGTGTGTCTGTGACACTTGCCTTGGTGACATCACACATCTGTCTATGTGAACCATATTTCATAGTAAATCCGTAACACAGTAATTGGTATTGAGAAAAATATACACGTGAGGCACCTCAAAAGTGACAAGTGTTTAAATGTTCATTTTAGAATTGACGTCCATACCTTTTACATGTATCAATAACTCTATAACAGGCATGAAATTGTGTTTATTCATGAACACACAAATGACAAAATGAATACACAAAAGAGCAACATCCGGGACATGCCTCAGCACGATGGTGCAACGTAATCCACGGCCATTCTGTTCAGGAAAAGCCCTTTTCGGTTGTGCATACACTGAAATTCAAACTTCATCTCTTACATCTTGTTCCACGATCTGGATTTGTTCTCCTGTTTAAACGGAGCTTTTCCAGGATCACTGACAAAAGATACGCAGGTGTCACATTAGAAACCTGCCTTTATACACTGAGACAGCATGTCGAAGCGCACTTTCAAAGAGTTCAGCAATCTGCGCGGGGTCTCTAGCTGACACTTCGGTGTACTTGTGCTCTCTGTCTTTTGTAACAATTGCGTCCACAACTTGCCAGACAGGATACTTCCTTTCCTCTGATTGGCATCACCCATCAATGTGAACCATATGGCATGGTAAATGTAGAACACAAACAATTTGACCATTACAAAAGTATGCGCGTGATGCACCTCACAAGTGACAAGTTTTTAAATGTTCATTTTAGGATTGACTTCAATACTTTTTACATGTATCAATAACTCTATAACTAGCAATATAATAACTTACATACATTGTTTTAATTCATGAGCACACACAAGACATAATGAACACACAAAGTGCAATATCAAGGACATCCTTCAGCACGATGGTGCAACGTAATCCACGGCTTTTCAGTTCAGGAAAAGTCCTTTTCGGTTGTGCATACACTGAAACTCAAACTTCATCTCTTACATCTTGTTCCCCGATCTGGATTTGTTCTCCTGTTTAAACGGAGCTTTTCCCTGATCACTGACAAAAGATACGCAGGTGTTATCATTCGTCTCGGTGACATTAGAAACCTGCCTTTATACACTGAGAGAGCATGTCGAAGCGCACTTTCAAAGAGTTCAGCAATCTGCGTGGGGTCTCTAGCTGACACTTCGGTGTACTTGTGCCCCCAGTCTATTGTAACAATCGCGTCCGCAACTTGCCAGATGGGAGTCTTCCTTTCTTCTGCAATGTCTATCTTATTGGCAACCACATAAATGGGAACATTGTTTTCCTGCTTTTCTTCCAGAATGAGATCTCGCAAAGAGTAAATTTGCTCAAATGAGTCTGCGTCATCCACGGAATAGACGAGAACAAATGCATCCCCTTTTGCAATAGCATGCTTCCTTACCGTGGGAACAGCATCCCCATTGATGATTTCAACTATTCCCACTGTCAAATTCAATCCTGATGAGTCATATGTGCGCCTGTGGATCTCCTCGAACGTACCTTTATACTCTGTGATGAAATTCTGACCCAGAAATTGAGAAATAATAGCTGTCTTTCCTACTCCAGAAGCTCCAAGGACTACAAGGCAGAGGTTCTCGTCCTGGTCCTGGCTGCCAGCATTAAATGAACGTACTCTTTGAGCCATCCTTAAATGAACTTCCAAAGACAGTTTCGATTTGTCTGAGAAATTGAGTAAACAGCGGTCTTATATACCTGTTGAGACTTGACCCATACAGCGGTCTTTCACACCATCCCACGGTCATTGACGTATTTTGTGCAGACAGCACTACAGACCACTGACGGTACACTGAAACCCTGGCAACAGTTTGAACGGTTGTGACACTAACTAAATATATTACAGTTTGTCGATATCAGAAGCGATCTAAACACTTGCGGACAAAATAAATAAAGCAGGTACGTCCGAATCCTAGGACGTATTTTATATCAGTACTTTTTAAATAAATTTCCAGTTTAATTTGTTTTCAAAAATCGTTGAAAATACCTCAGGGCGGAATACACGTGGCAAAACTTTTACAGAAGCGCAACTTCAAGAAAATACAGATAGAGCGAGTTCACCAAACGCATAATATGGTCTGGCTTAAATAAGTCTAACATATTTTGCTGCACACCCTAAGGTTTTATATTAAGTTAAGTCTCTTTGGAAGTTAGCAGGGTGAAATTATTATACAGTCTGAGATATATCAAAATGTTGTGTTTCATTATAGGCTGGTGCATCGACAATGTCAAATCTGCATTTATCAACTTAGCTATGCCAAATCTTTACCAAAAGAGAGGTTCAAGTACCAGGGTCATCTGGGTTTATCACATTATATGATGTATGTTTACGATCATTTTTCGGCTATACTCGAAATACTTGTTTTCATGAGCAATGAGTTCATGGTGTTTCTGCTGTCTTGCATACTTTGAAGAGTCAAACACAACACCATGACTTCGTTCCTCCATTTCAGTGATACAACCCCGGATCTTGATCACCGAGGTGTCAGACCTGTGTCTTCTACTCGATTCAGTACAGATTATCAGTACTTTGGTCTTACAACTGTTGCGTTTGAGGAAGATTTGAGCCATCCAGTTATGAATATTGTTTGAAAAGTCTGTATCTATGTGGAATTTGTAGTTTTATGTTCCAGGCGTCCGCCCTCAGGTGGACCAAACAATATCTCCAAGTGGTAAGTCAAGGGTAAACTGAAGACATTTGTTTAGTTGAATAACTGTCAGGAACAGGTGGAGTTTTTTTTATCAGAATTGCTGCCAATGCAAACCTAAGAGGCACAGTTAGGTCTCGTAGAGAGTCATTGACGGCATTGTTCACCGTTTCTTCAAGAGGTGAGGTGAAATTGGGTTTAACGTCGTACTTGAGAATATTTCACTCATATGACGACGTGCATGCGTGTGTATGTGTATGTGCGGCTGCTTGTGCTAGCCCAGATTTAAGATGGTTTTATAGTGCTAGCTCACTGAGATACCATTCCGCAGTGAAGCATGAATACCCCACACAGACACAGTATACTGACCCCGAGCCGACCAGTCCTTGTTGTACCCATTAATGCCGAGCGCCAGGCAAGTATCAACAAGTACCATATTTTAACGTCTTTTGGTATGACGCGGTCGGAGGTCGAACCCGCGACCTTCCGCTCTCCGAGCGGACGCTCTAACCACTTCACCACGGAGGCGGTTGTTTCTTCAAGACATTTCTTTAGAAGCCACAGTGGCATTTGGTCCAGAGCGCATGATTTTGTTTGATTGTAAAAGTTGTTTCATTGTGTACTCCAATTTTTATGTCATTTCAAATTGAAGAACACCCGTGCAGATCCCAGTACGAATTGTTCTTCGGTAACCCATGCTTGGCGTGAGAGGCGACTAACGGGATGTCATCGTATCCCAATTGCGTAGATCGATGGCCATGTTGTTGCTCACTGGATTGTCTGGTCCAGACTCGATTATTAACAGACCGCCGCTATATTGCTGGAATATTGCTGAGTGCGGCGTAAAACTAAACTCACTCACACTCACTCCCAGTTTGTTACAAGGGCGCATTGGCAACTAAAGGAACAGCGCGAAAAGCGAGATGCACGTGCGTTAACGGGTTCTCAACAAACTTTTGAGCTGGCGAGATGTCACGTGCCCCAGCTGCACAGGTGAGTGAGTGAGTATGGTTTTACGCCGCTATTTAGCAATATTCCAGCAATATCACGGCGGAGGACACCAGAAATGGGCTTCACACATTGTACCCATGTGGGGATTCGAACGCCGGTCGTGACGAGCGGACGCTTTAACCACTAGGCTACCCCACCGCCCCAGCTGCACAGGTAGTGCGCTGTATGTACTTTGTAATTGCATACTTGGGTCACCCCACGTCATTTTCATCCTTGAAAAAAATCATAGACTTTGTAAATTATAGACTTTCATTTTCTCTCACTTTGTCAATCAGCATTAATCACATGTCTCTGACGTCATTAATGCACGTGCATCTCGCCTTTTAGCGCTGTTCCTTTAGTTGCCAATGCGCCCTTGTAACAAACTTGGAAAAAGCACAAATAAATGATGACAGTTTCTTAAACAACTTTTTTATTTTTGTGACACAAATTATGCATTTTTTTTCTAGAGTTGGTCAGTTGTTTGTATTGCAGTCCGCGTTGGTTTCATTCTCTTATGTCTATTTGTTTTGTGTTAGATTGCACTTCATCGGTATCATTTTGTCTCAAACGGACTGTAGTTTGAAATAAGGACCAGTTAGCCGTCGAAAAATTCCATCATGTATACGATGGAGAAGCAGATGGAGTTATTTCTGAAAGAATAGTTGGGAAGTGGTCACTTCCGCAGAGGTCACCATGGACAGACCAATCAAATTGATTGAAGAGGTGAGAAGCTGCAAGTGACAAATCCAGAGAAGAGTAGGTGCCAATTGCAGGATGGAGATAGGTGCTTGAATCATCATTGTACATACATTGGTCATTATTGGAAATGAAATCTTAGATTATTTTACCTTTAGTATTAGTGTTGTTACTACCCCAGAGCGGGTTGTGACCATTTAGGTCACCCATAATAACACAGGGCTTCGGGACTTGATCATAGAGTGACTGTAGATCAGTCTGCTGAAGTGCCGATGAAGGCGGAATATATAGAGAGCGTAATGTCAATGCTACACCCAGAGTAAGTCGCACTGCCTCACCTTGGAGATTAGTTTTAAGCGGAACAGGGCTGCAAATAACATCCTGTCGTATAAGGATAGAAGATCCTCCCGTGGCCCTATTACTCAGAGGAGAATAATGATGAAAGGCTGTAAATTGGCGTAAAGTAAAATTATCCGTCTGGTGGTGTTAGATCCTGGACTAATAGCTGTAGTTCACTACAATTAATCCTTAGACCTCTACAATTCCACTGCACGATATTAGTAAAACGACCTATCTTTTAGGTGGATTCATAGGGGATCTACCCCCCACGTTCTTCGAGGGCGACAAGCTATGTGCCCTGGCATGGAAGTTTTCGGAAACTTCCATGTCCTCAAGCGATCCGTATTTATTAAACATTTTGATTTGATTTTGTGAACCCTTTGAGGGTCTGTCACTTTTTTCGATGATTCTGTTCTTGGCTCATTAGTACTTCGAGAGTGTTCTTGGAATTTGGTTTAGTTCGAGTTTGTTGGGCTTACTGAGATGATGAATGTTCCCCGGATAAAGATGAATCTTGACTAGATGTCTGTGACGGAACTTCAGACAGGATCTCCTCGTTATATCTCCATATTTCAAAGTCTGTGTAGACTGTTCAGGTCTAAGGCTTGTTGGTTTTAACCCATGTCGAGTCTGTTTGACAGTGTATTGACGAGGTGGTAACTGATAATGTGTTTAGCTTTGAGATGGTTTCCGAAGATGACCTTGCAATTGATGCATACGAACTACCTGGTGCTGTTGATTCAACGATTTTTTTGGCATCAGCAAAGCTAATGTTTTGGTGAATTTAATTTTAGTAATTTATATTTGTTACTTTCAAATTGGACAATCCTTTGAGAAGGAAGAATGTCTTCCTGAACAGTTTGTACACTTTTTAGAGTCTATTGTAACATGAGTAGTCTCACTGCAGTGGGCACATGTGATCGGTTTTGTACAGGTGTTAACACCGTGGCCATATGTTTGACACCTAAAACATCTCAAAGGATTTGGGATGTAGGTGTCAACCGACAGAACCCTGCCTTGACTGACTTCGGAGGAGTTGGGGAAGAAAATGAAAAGAGGTAGGTATTGGTTTGAATGGATTCATTGTTTCTGCGGGTCGTAAATCGTTTCACATATGTTACTCCCTGGTCTTTCATTTCAGAGACAATGTCTAATTCTGACATATCAGCCAACACTCGCTTTCGGTCTCTGATTATACCTTTACTGTGGACAGAGACCGTAACAGGAACTTCAACAAACATATCCATAGATAGCAGGTTGGTCGGTTGCTGTTTTCTGCTACATTCAATTAAATGGGATCCTGAACGCAAGCGTTTGCTATTTCTCACCTCTCCTGCTATTCCGTTGACACCTTTAGAAATCGCAAAAGGATTAAGTTTCCAGGGAGTCTTATGCGGAGTTTCCATAATCAAAAATCGTGGCCAATAATCAACAGATTTACAGGGTCGCTGTTCCTAATCATTGTCCAGTGGACGTTGTTTTTTGTGTGTTTTTTTAGGGTGTTTGGTAGTCCATGTTTAGTTTATATTTATTCATCATCCGAGCTCCCCACCCACCACGGAGTGTCATAAAGACGGTGCTAATAACAAGTGGATCTCCAACTTGCAGCACCAGGGATACCTGCATGATATACTCCAGCAGAAAACAATAAAAGTTAATTATTCTACCAGATTGGCCCATGAGCCACCGCCTTCTGGGTATATTACTCTAGGCAAATTACAAAAGTGAAATATTTCCAAATTCAAATACATAAACATAAGCCAAGTCATTTCACAAAACATTTTCCAAAGTGTCTAAAACTTGTGTATCAAAATATACATACACAGCATGACCAGCCGATTGATTGAACCGGGCCCATTCAACCACCCGTCTAGGTGAAGTAAGGGGCGAAGTGGTGTGTTGGGCAAAGGAACGCTATTCCTGGAACCTGTGCCCTCAACCACCACTCCCGTCC